AGTCTTCCCGAGCCTTTTCCTCGGTTCAATTTTGCTCATATATATCGTGTCGCCGTGGTGTGCAGTTCAACGTCACCCGCTTCGCCGAGCCGTACGCCGTCCACCTCGATCTCCATCTTCTAGCTAGGTGAGTTCGCCTTGAGCTCCCCGTTCAAACGGTACTGGTCCCGTGTCTTTTGGTGCCCAGTGTCGCTCAGTCCGAGAACACCGGAGAGCTTCGTCGCCGCCGTCCATGGCCACCGCCGCGCCGGTCGTCTTCTCCGGCGCATCCTCTCTCCCCCCGGCCGATCTAATCTCGGCCATCCAAACCCAATCCAGCGGCTGACAAACCCCCGTACCACTTCGCGGGGTAAAATTCTTAAAGAGCCCCTTCACTTTTCCGAAATAGAACCCGCAGTCCAAAGCGTATTCCCTGGTTCACGCTTTCGTCTCTGGAAAACGTATTTTTCAATTAACAAATTCAAAATCAAGTTCCATCTAATTACAGTTTTGCCACTGATTTCAAATGCTTATAAAATGCTCATTTTAACCGTTCAACTTGCGTTGGATTCGTAATTTCGTAATCTACGTGTTAGTGTCCTTGTTAGCTCAGTTATGGTTTTTAAATTTCGAGTTCATGTTTAGTACATTAATAGTCTATAGGAAAACTTGGAAAATCATATCTTGCTCGTTTTAGATCCGATTTCGGTGAATTTCGCATCTATGTGAACGTAGTGACGAGTAGAATGTTTTTATACACTTTTCAAACTGTTTTCTTGCTGGTGGTGTATTGTTCTAATTATAGCCCTTTGTTTGCTTCGTGTATGATTGCTCGGATGAATGTATGTTGCTGCTTGGTGTTGTTGATCGAGTTCAGACGGTGAGGTTTTCGTTGGTGATCAAGAGTTCATCTACGACCAGCAAGATCGGCAGGATTTATAGGAGCTTTGATAAAGGCAAGTATAGCTTGGGACCTTCCTTGTTGTCCTATTCATGATGCTTAATAAATACAGAGTAAAATGCATCCATGGTCCTTAAATTATTACCGCCTTCCCGTCTAGGTCCTCAAACTAAAAAAGCGACTATTTGGGTCCCTGAACTATTGTCGTCATACACCAATGGTCCAAGACCTGCCACGTCCGCACACAGCATCCAAAGTGGTGGTGCCACAGTGGCAGCTCGACGACGTGGCCATGCTATCTTCTAAAAAACCTGCCTCCTCGTCCGTCTGTTGCTCCCTCGTCCGCATGGCATGGCGCCTCGCCCCTCGCCCGCCTGGCGGCGGCACTTGCTCGTGCGCCCACCTGGCGGCCGCGGCATCCAGCCCGTGCTCGCTTGCCCACGCACAATCATGGAGATTGCTGCCGGCAGCACGGAGGTGGCAGCTGCGGGGACACGGCGGCGGGCAGAGCGCCGCTGCCCGGGCACACACGCCCCACGGCGTCCACGGCAAATCGCGAGCTCGAGCCCGGCGGTGGCACATCATGAGCTCGCGCCCAGCGACCATGGCGAACGTGCCCGTGATGAGAGCCATCGACGAACATTACCTGCCCATCCTCACACAAGCACTCGATCTGCGAAATGCAAAGCAAAGATCGATCACATTAGTCAGGTCAGGTGACACCAGGATGCTACCGGATCGGTGCGAGTTGTGGTTCTGGGACGAGCTTTCCTCATGTCGGAGACAACGGTGGCGTCGTCCATGAACTTGACGCCGATATGCACTCTCTCGCCACCTCGCGGAGCTTACGCTGATCTCCTTGTCACTCTCTCCGAGGCCGACGACGCTGAAGGAGTCCGGACGCTTGATGCGAGTGGGAATGCAACCTGCCTCCTCGTCCACTTGTCCATACCAACGATGGTTGGGAGTCTTGGTCGGGCGTCTTGGCCGGGGCCACGCACGACGACAGTGGTCGAACACCTCTTCCGCGATGACCACCTCGCCGTCACATCGATCGATCACCATGTCTCGACGAGCACCTCACCATCCAGCGCATCATGCCATCGCCGTCGACTATCGCCCAGCGCCGCCAACCAGCGTCGCGAGACCTTGGTGTTGAGCAGACGACGCTGTTCATGAGCCCGAACGCATCACGAAGTCCCCGATGTACTGAGGTACTCGCCGTGACCGGTACCGCGCGGCGGCGGCGTTTCAACCAAGGCGGAGCCAATGGCTACTAACCGTGCATACCCGGTCACTCCTTGTTTCTCCAGAAGAATCGGAACGTGAAGTCCCGATCGCGAGTAGTTACCCGGAACACCCTTTCAAGCTCCTTGCTCAACGCCGGATGGAGTCGAACTCGGAAGTCGGAGAAGCCCATATGCTATCCCTAGGCACGTTGAGGCGGAGACGCCGTTGTGTACGCCCGCGTGGCCGACACCGAGAGGATCGCCGGCGTCGGTCTTCGGGTTGTATAGCCAATGCCCGCTTTTGCCGCTCTGCTCCATGACCGTGGCCCTCGCGGGCGGATACCAGCCCGGAGACGCCGCGCCGCCGACCACGCTTCCATGGTTGCGGCCCTGCAAGCGGGCGACGGCACCTTTCGCGGGCCCGCCCCACGCCCGCCCGGATGGAGAGGAGGGACTTGGGAGTGAGTAAGAGTACGTGGCGGGGTTTGTTTTAGAAGGTAGTATGGCCACGTCGTCCAGCTCACTCTCTGCACTTGCCACGTTAGATGTTAGTGTTGACATGGCAGGTTTTAGACCATTGGTGCACGGTGACAATAGTTCAGGACCTAGATAGTCGCTTTTTTAGTTTGAGAACCCAGATGGGAAAACCCAAAAAGTTTAAGGACTCTGGGTGCATTTTACTCTAATATTAACAAGCCATGTACTCTCAGATGGCAAAACCATTTTAATAGCTTAATGCCAACCACGGAGAGTTGATGATACAGGATAACCATGGAGATTTGATGATAAAGATGGACTCATGCCTACCACGGTCAATATTAAAAAGCTGTTTCTCAGATGGTTTCCGAGAAACAAAGATATGAAGTATATTTATTTCTAATTCATGCAGTTAGTAGTTTTGGAGTTCTGAAGTGTGCTGAGAATACTTGTGCATGTGCTGTGATGAGCTCATTTTTAATCATATTTTTCACAATTTTTTTATCTTTTTTACCTTTTCTTATAGGGAAACAAAAAAAATGTCATGGTTGGTCAAGCACTCAAAGCTGGACGAAGGAGAAACAAATGGCAGACTTTAAACACAAAGGGGGAAAGGATCAGAAGCCTCTGAGGTGTGGGTTTGAGGCCATGATTAAATTTCAAGAATAAAAGGGATGGTAACAACTATTCATGATGAACTAAGATGAAGATGGATGCTGATGTTATGATCAAAAAGTGGCACTTGGCGAAAACTAATTAGACGTATAATAGCAATTCCTTTTAGGATTGACTTTATGTATCGTATGATGCCCTCACATGGTGTAATGTTGTGATATTAGTGTTTTATACACTGAGCGTGACTCAGATAATTTTTTCTACCAATTTTTTTATACTTGCTGTTTTCTAGTTTTGGTACAATGGGGATCTGTATAAGAATGTAAGTTGGGTCAATACTTGTGTGTTTCTGGTATATACCACGAGTCCTAATCTCTAGAGTTTGTGCTCTCTGAGATCATGTAACAGAATAATTGAGTTTGTTTGTGCTGTCTGAGTATTCTGCTTGTCATTACCTACATGGGCAATAAACTCTGATAGCACTGCCAATTGCTATGTCTATACATGCATTAGTTCCATCTGAGCTTTGTCTATACAATGTGTATATTACAGCTTATACCACCAGTATTCAGTATACTAAATCTTACAAATTTCAGAACAAAAGCAAAAGACATTATTTCTTCGAAGCTCAATCCAACCGACTCTACTGTGTACGTTCTTCTCAGGCTGTCCAACTGACTCACCAGATTCCAAGCTCGATCTCATAACAGCAGGTGTCCTCCTGTCCTCCTGTCATGAACTTGTTTCTGATGGACTGACCTAACCAACTAATGTGTCATCAAGCCTGACATGACTAAACTGGTGGCAACCTTTTAGTAATCAACTCCACGAGGATGACGCCAAAAGGGAAAGACATCCTCTTTGCCGGTTACTATCTAATACAGAAGAAAATAAGATGTGTAATCGATACAAGAATTGCACTTGGATTTTTCACGTACATGAAAAAACTTGGAAAATTTATTAGTCAAGAGTTTGCACTTATACTCAGCATATATTTTCAACTGAGCTTTTCTAGAATTTTTAGCCGCATGAATCTGAAATAAATACACAACTCATGCAGTCCAAATACTGTAAAATTTTACAAGTCTTCATTAGCAGAGGTCCAGGCAATGGAAGATTGAAATAAACATATCTGATGTGCCTGTGCAGTTCGTGGTAGATCTGCTTGCTGACTAGTACTGATCACTTGTTTCAAGTTGCATTCGTTATTCCCACCAATTAACTTATACCCAGCACCAATTAAAAATGATTCCAGTTCAGACTTCAGAGCCATTTCTAGATCGAAAAAGAGCATGTAACGTACCATTCAATCTAGAAAAGCTGATGCTGGCCGCAGGCGTGCTAATGCCCTCGAACTCTAAAAAAAAATCAAGTTAAACGGGCTCATTCATCATCCAGGGCTGCACACCAAGTATTTTCAAAATTACCTCAGCATTGAGTGGTCTTCCTGTTTCTGAATTTTCGTTCTGACACGAATCAACTCTTGTGCCACCTTGGTCTCCTGACAGCCATCACAACATGTGCCCGAGCGAGAGCAAGATGTTCAAATACTTAATTAATGAATAGTAAGCATATGAGGCTGGCTAATGATGTCGCAGTAAATAATTAATGACAGAGGAGGAAGAACCGTAGGGCCTCAGGGCCAGGCCAGGACAACGACGTCTCGCTGCCTGGAGAAGCAGGAGCCGCACGGGCGCTGGGCGATGCCAGGTTGAGAATTCGATGAGGGGCACACAACGGCACGGAGGAGCGGCCCTGGCAGAGCACTAGGCGATGCCAGGTTGAGGAGGGAGGCGACGATGGAGCCGAGACCGTCTATCGACGGCGTGCCGCGACTGTGGCGCGGTAGGGAGGAGCTCGCGCGGAAGAAGGACGTGGTGACGGAGATGGTCCCGTCTGTCGGCAGCAGGCCGCCTGGAGGCGGTGGGTACTGGACCTGCCGCCGCCATGGCTCCCGACTCTCTCTCGGATGGGGAACGATTGGAATGGACCTACCGGCACACTCAACCTTGTTCAGGGGTCTAATAGTGAAGGGTGACGAGGCAGTGCGGGGAGGGAAATGAAAATGTAGCATGGAACTGTCTAGGCCGTAGATCACACATCCGACGGCGCTGGATACAAGTTTGCATGTTTCCATCTGGTGATGAGTTTACACTACATATTCTCCCGGGTATAAATAGCATCTCACAAAGGCTGACAAAGAAAAGAAAAAGAGGAAAACACATGAATCGAAGCAATTCACAAAGGTTTTGAAAGTCACGTGGATTAGGTGTCAACCTAAAGGTTTTTTTTAGGGAGTGAGTCAAGCTCATTCGGTGTTTAATACTATCAAGATCTCTCGTTTTTTAATTTTTTTTAATTTTTTGTTAGAGGGATGTCAAGATCTCTCGTGAAAAACAAAAACTAATTGAGGCCAGGTTTAGTTCCACCAAAATCCAAACTTTGACACTATGTAAAAATAAGATTTTCTGTCACGTCAAATTTACGGTACATGCATGGAGTACTAAATGTTGACGAAATCAAAAACTAATTGCACAATTCGGTTGTACTTTGCGAGACGAACGTTTTGAGCCTAATTAGTCAACGATTAGACAATTATTAATAAATACAAACAAAATGCTACATGGTGTGAGGTAGCAAAAGAATTAGGCCCAAAGATACAGCCCAGCTCCTCCCTCCCTCCCCTCCTGCTCAGAGCCTCAGACGCCAGGGAGGGAGCCCAAGACCACAGGCCCTTCACCGCCGGCCGCCCTTCCTCTCTGGCTTCTGCGCTCCGCCGCAAGCCTCTCGGCGCCCACGGCTCCGCTGCCGCTGCCACCGGCGAGGGCCTCGTGCGGCAGCTCGGCGTCCTTGAGCTTGTGCTTCTCGGGATCGGTGCGTCCATCGGCGCCGGCATATTCGTCGTTACTGGCACCGTCGCCCGCGACGCCGGCCCAGGTCAACCCTACAGCCCCATACTACTTTGAATCGAAACCAAACACTGCTGCTCGATCCATGCCGACATTTGCTTGCAGTATAATGTTTACAGTGGGAGCAAGCAACAGCTTGTTGGTTTCATGGCTAAGTAGAAGCAGTGCAATGATGCAGTGATTTTGGGGGATCGTTCACGCGTTACGGAAGTACTCGATTGTTTTGATACTTCAAATGCTCCAACTGAAGTGTTGCTTTATTTGCCTATACGTAGTGTGTCCTCCTTTGTTTCGTTTCTGTGGAACTGAAACTAACGTGAGGGTATATATAACAGGCGTTATAATCAGTTTTGTTCTTGCTGGAGCTGCGTGTGTGCTCAATGCATTGTGCTATGCTGAACTCGCATCTCGGTTCCCTGCTATGGTTGGAGGAGCATACTTGTACACATATGCAGCGTTCAATGAGATCACCGCTTTCTTGGTCTTCACTCAGTTGATGGTGGATTACCATATCAGCGCAGCAAGCATTGCTCGTAGCTTAGCAAGCTACTTTATCCAATTCTTGGAGCTAATCCCGTTCTTGGAGGGCCAAATTCCAAGCTGGATAGGGCATGGGGTGGAGTTTTTCAGTGGTGTCGTATCAATTAATATATTGGCCCCCATTCTTCTCATCATCTTAACTGTGATTCTCTGCTATGGTGTCAAAGAGTCATCGGCAGTGAACACGTTTATGACAACATTGGAGGTAAGATTGCTTACATGCTCATACTGGGTTTTGTGTTTGCTGCAACTTGAACTTGCTCATTGGTGAATTGGCTAGCCGATATTTTCCTGTAACAACATTGTTAGATAGGTGGCTAAGTGAGCTTTTCCATATGATACTAGTTGTTTTATTATAAGAGTTTTTGTGCTTGCAGAAAGAATTGCCTTTTAATGTTAGGTGATATGCTTCTCGAGATTTAGTTTTTCATGTTTGTGGGGTAGAAGGCATATGTAATGCTGCTTATTACTTTGGACTGATGCACCTGTTTCCAAATGCAGATAATCATTGTTATATTCGTTGTATTTGCTGGTGTGTTTGAGGTGGATGTATCAAACTGGTCACCATTTATGCCAAATGGTTTCAAATCTGTAGTGACTGGAGCCACAGTAGTATTTTTTGCATATGTTGGATTAGATGCGGTTGCTAATTCTGCTGAGGAAGCCAAAAGGCCACAGGTAATGCATATTCTGGATTTATTGCCTTGTCTTTTTATGGCCATATGCTATTGCTTAGTGGATATCAGTATTTAGTCTATAGATTACAATAGTGTGAAATGCATTCTAACTTCTTCTGCTCATGCAAACAAAACTTTCCAGAGGGACTTGCCCATTGGTATACTAGGAAGCCTTCTAGCATGTATGTAAAGACGCTCCTTTGGCTGAGGCTTTTGCTGCTAAGGGCCTGAAATTTGTTACTGTATTGATCAGCATTGGAGCTGTTGCTGGACTTACTACAACATTTCTTATTGGCTTGTATGTTCAGGTAATACCTTCTAACTTGACTATGTATGGCTGGTCATACTGGTAGGTTTCACTTAATCAAATTGATCTACTTGATGAGCATTACATCCTTAATTGTAAACAGTCGTGTTTGTATCTTGGACTTGGAAGGGATGGGCTGCTACCTTCAGTATTTGCTAAAGTACACCCAACGAGGCATATTCCTCTACAATCGCAGATTTGGGTTGGTTGTGTTGCGGCAGTCATGGCAGGCCTCTTTAATGTGACTATGCTCTCTCATATTCTTTCTGTTGGCACTCTGGTATGGAAACTTCAGTAAATATTTGAACTACAACGTCTTGGTCTCATCATTGAACAGTCGCATGTAACTGCTACTCCCTACTCCCCCCCCTATTTCTTTCTGGGAGCAGACTGGTTATTCAGTTGTATCAGCTTGTGTGATCACACTAAGATGGAATGACAAAGGAACTAGTCGTCTCTCCCTTGGAAGTATGTCAATCCGGCAAGAGGGTGTTCTATGTCTTGTCATAGTTGCTCTTTGTGATTTTATAGTGGGACTTTGCTATCGCTTTAACTGTGCTGTAGCCTTTATGGTAGTATCTTTTGTGATAGCTGTTGCTGCCAGTTTTGCTCTCCAGTTCCGTCAGGTAAATTTCATTTATGTCTATCTGGCCTACTTACTGCGTACCCACATAATTCTGTATGCGTGCAATCCATTGTTTCATGTTGCATATCATGCTACTAAATATTTAGACGCACTGATGCTCAGCCTCAACTTACATTGTTTTCTTAAAACTTTCCTGTCCAGGTCTATGTGGATCCACCTGGCTTTTCATGTCCTGGGGTACCATTGGTTCCCATTATCTCTGTTTTCTTCAACATGGTCCTGTTTGCTCAGGTTTGCGCTGCTCTATGTTGATTCCACTCACAGATTTCAATACTGAAAAAAAATTCCTTTATGGTTTTGCCTTGCTAACAAATATTTACCACCAAATTCCCGCGACTGATGACAATGACAGTTTGTTTAGCAACATGAAGAAGCTTGGTATAGATTTGTCATCCTTAGTCTCATCACTTTGGGAGTTTATGCTGGCTATGGTCAGTACAATGCTGTTCCTTCCAGCTCAGAACACTCTACTATTGGTTACCACGGCATTCCTTCTGAGGCCCCATGAGCAGATGAGCTATGGCCAGCCTCCAAGTTCTTTGAAAATACTGTACGATACCACCGTCACCGACCTGTTAACTATTGCACAGTGCATACTGTGTAGTTACGCTTAGTATACTCCTATTTAGACAGTGAATTTCTTAGCCTGTAGAATGAGATGTTGTAGTGTCCACCATACCATTCGTCAAGGAGCATGCCAAGTGCATAGACCTTGTAAAAAGGGAAATGAAAATAAAGAACTGCGGGTGCATTGTTTGTAACAACTCATTGTCATGCGCTATAAATAATTCTGTCTATATATTGTGAACAGTTTATTTTCCTTTTCTTTTTGAGAAAAGTATATTGTGAACATTTGATATCAAAGTGCCCTGCCGTCGTCCCTTCTGAGTTCTGACTTTAGTTGGTTTTTTTTTTGGGTAAAAGCTAAAAGAAAATGGAATAGTTTGGGCCTTAGGAATAATGAAAACGATAGTTACAGCCTTGCAACCATTATCTAAAACTTATGAAACAAATTGACTGTGGTTGAGACTTCTGTTGAGAGATCTACTGGCACAGCACCAGCAGATACTCGAAAAAGAATGTAAACTGCTCGTGCCCTGTTTGGGCAGCACTCTATTTGATAGTGAACTCTTGTTTGTTTGTAAATGTTTAAGGCTACCTAAAGTTCCTTACTACAAAATCAAACATGTTGAAACAGGCAAAGTGACAAACAAATCCAATGCATTTTTTTTTTTGAACCGAATGAATCCAATACAACGTAATGTGGACTGAAAGTCATGATGTTCACATGGCTCCCGTTCCATGCTGCTGAACAACAGATCTCTGAACCAACTTGCCTTCTACATTTATCAGCATTGACTCCTGCCACATTTTGCCAAATGAAAATCAAATGGAAATTTAATTGTTTCGTATTGATATTGGGATAAAGAAGGGAAAGTGTCGCGTAGAGTCATAAACTCACCATCTCGAGGGGTCTAACTCTGTGCAAGAAAAAACCATCTACACTTGTTTGGTCACCACCAGGGCTCCTGGGATGTCCAATGTACAGTGTCGAGTTGTCTCGGTGGAAGTAACCACAAAACCCACCCATGCTTATGTATGCATTCTGTATCGTATAGAGGGAACTAAGTTATAGCAATCATTGATTTGAAAAAGACAAATGCCATCAACGAAGAGAACACAAGTCACCACTTCATATTTTGCAAAAATGCGTTGAATTGGCACAGAGAACTTTGTGGTTTCTGATGTTTCCTCACCATTGCAAACAAGTAACGGATTATATCCAACAACTATGATGAGGACATCAACACCGATCATACATCCACGCCGTCCACGCCGACATCTGCTGGTCCTATTACTCGTGCTAGTGCTCGAAAACTTAATCATCAAGTGAGTTCCTTCTTGAGCTCTTGTCCATCCTGTTTAGATCTTGTAGACACGTGCACTCTTGTTTTGATTAGGAATCAAGGAGAAGACCGAAAGGGAAAAGGACTCGCGTAGGCTGGATTCGGACTGCAGCACACCTCCAACTTCATGGACGGTCGCCACGGTTACATACGGAGTCGGATTGGGGTGATTCTGGACTTGTTGGAAAGCTAATAAAGTCTACTTTCATACGGATCTGACCTCGTACTCATACCTGCTCAGAAACGGCGTCAACAGTCCAAAAATCACCGAGAGGTCTATTCTGTCCAGGGTGCTGCGCCACCTTAAGTTAGCCCAATGGGCTTGTATCGTTTAGAGTCCAGTAGGGACGCGTCCTAGGGTTGGAGCACGACCCAAACTCTCTTGTGGTCGTCCTCCACACGTCATATACCCCTTAGCCGCCACCAGAACACTTGGGTTTTGTTTAGATCAAGTTTAGCCTTTGCTACTTGCTTGTAGGCGCGCGTCTTGATCCAAATTACCGCCTCCTTGTCTTCGAAACCCCACTCATAATAAGATTCAGTTTGAGGCTTTCAATTTCATCTTGCAAATTCAGTGCTTGTTTCCTTATTCTTGCTAGTTCTTCGATTGCTTGCGGGACGGGAGCCCTAGTGGTCAAGTTGTCGCGCCCACAAGATCGTGGCGGCCTTTGGAGGTGGTGTATCGGTTGCTAAGGCGCGGCCTTGGAAGGCTGTAGTCGGGCCGTGAACGTCATCTCCATCCACCAAATCAAGTGATCTCACGCCTCTCATCGAAAGATCGACCACAAACCCTTGCAGGTTCATATCAATTGGTAATCAGAGCAAGGTTTATCGGTGAGAGACTTCCAATCCTTCACTGTTTTATTTTTCCTATAGTCCGTAAAAGCCAAAAAAAATAGTAGATTAGTTTCCTGCAATCCTATAGACCTTTGAGCCGTGGCTAGTGCTACCTAGTTAGGGCTTGTTGAATATTCGGTTGCATCGGGTGTGTCGGATTGCTGGTCTTAGTTTATTCCCTTAGAGTTTCGAGTTCTTGTCACTTTCCTATCACAACACGCGCTATCATATAGTCTCTCTGCTTGGCGAATCCAAGTAGGGTTTGAAGTTTGAATCGGACAAGGAATCGGCTGTTCCTCTCTCATTGGCGAATCCAAGTAGGTTTTCAAGTTTGAGTCGGATCAAGGAATCGGTTATTCCTCGCTGTTGGCCAAGTCCGAGTAGAATTGGAAGTTCCAATCGAGACGAGGAATCAGTTCACCCCAATGCTACAAATGTCAAACTAACCACGCAGCAAGTATTCATATCTAAACGAGTGGCTTACTCTAGAGAGAGAGAGAGAGTATCTTTTTTACCGAATACCCTGCCCTTTCGGAAAAAAGTGTGTGTCTTTGAGTTACTCTTTGGGAGTGTTCTTGTTCATATAATCAGTTTTGAGTGCCCCTGAAAAAAAAAATATATTATTAAAAAAAGAAAAAAAAGAGAAAGAAGCAAAAGAAAAGAAGAGAAAGGGGCTGATCTTAGAGATTTTTCGTTCACTTTGGGTGGTGTGTTGTGCTCTCCTTTGTGTCCGTGCTCGCGTCTCTAGCACGGTCTAGACTAGGACCAAAGACAAATCACCACGGTTGAACGATTATTCAGCTTGCTTTTTGTAACTAACGTGGTGCTAGTTCGTTCCTTGTTTCAGCCCACCTATAGCTCCACATATTCTACAACTTTGATGTGTCTCGTCTTTGTGGCACCGATACACTTCATCCATTGCTGCAGACTTGTTGGTAGACGACCCTCCTGCCGAAAGCAAGGTAAGAACTGGTAAGAACTTGTGTAACAGTGGAGAGTGAGCGACTTGTCAGAGCTACATCTTAGTAGTTGTAGGGCTTTTATTTCTTCACTTGTCTTCTTGTTGTCTTTGTCTTTGAACCATGCCGTGGTCCGGCGAAGATAACCAAATTCCACATTCGCCTCGCACAAAGGGCGCCATACAACATTTTGAAAGGAAAGTGAAGTTGCACATGGAGGGACTTGATAATGACTTGCGGTGTGACAAATGACAAACTTGGGCGGTTGGAGGCTACATGATTGCCGCAAACAACAAGCTTGCGGGTTTGGAGCAGTCCATTGCTAGTGTGGACAAAAGCCTTCTTGCTTTCTGCTCTTTGAGGCGTTTTGATGACCTCCACAACAATGATAAAGACCAGCATAAAGAAGAAAAAGAAGGAGGAAGATCGAGAGGATGGTAGTTATGATGAAGAATACACAGTGATAATTGAACATGATGATCGAGACACTCGTGATCGACGCCGCCACGTCCAACCGTAGAGAGGTATGGGTGGCCGCCGCCCGACGAGGTACACAATAATGATGATGCTTTCAAGAAGATTAAATTTAAAATACCTCCTTTTGATGGTAAATATGACCCTGATGCATACATTACTTGGGAGATTGTTGTTGATCAAAAGTTTGCATGCCATGAATTTCCACGAGAACACACGTGTTAGGGCTGCTACTAGTGAGTTCACAGATTTTGCTTCTGCTTGGTGGATCGAATATGGCAAGAAAAATCCTAATAACATACCTAAAACTTGGGATGCGCCAAACGAGCCATGAGAGCTAGATTTGTTCCATCTTACTATGCCCGTGATATGATAAATAAGTTGCGACAAATTGAGACAAGGTTCTAAAACTGTAGAAGAATACTATCGTGAATTACAAACGGGTATGTTGCGTTGTAAATTAGAGGAGGATGAGGAACCTGCTATGGCTAGATTTTTAGGTGGGTTAAATCGGAAATTCAGGATATCCTCGCTACAAAGAATACAATAACGTAACCAAACTGTTTCATCTTGCTTGTAAAGTCGAACGGGAAGTGCAGGAGACGACGTGCTAGCACAAGGACTAATGTTTCTCAGCAGGAAAGCTAGTTCATGGTAGCCAAGACGCGTCTACAACTCCGTCTACACATACTCCTACGCCATCATCTAGTGACAAGACTCGAGCTGCCCCCACCAATTCAAGAGCGAAGACAGTATAAAAAGTCGGTCAGTGAGTACTTCATCCGTGGCATCGACAGTAGAACAAGCAACATACAATGTCATCGGTGCAAGGGATATGGCCATATGATGCGTGATCGCCCAAACAAAGCGTGTTATGATTGTCAAAGATGATGGTGAGTGTTCATCTGCTAGTGATTTTGATGAAGATACACTTGCATTGCTTGCGGTGACTATGCGGTGGTGAGGAACACATAGAAGAACACATTAATGCAGGTGACGCGGAGCACTATGAGAGCTTGATTGTACAAATGAGTGCTTAGTGCACAAATGGAGAAGGCGGAGCAAAATCAGCGACACACTTTATTCCAAACAAAGTGTGTCATCAAAGAGCGTTCGTGCCGCATGATCATTGATGGAGGTAGCTGCAACAACTTGGCAAGTAGCGACATGGTACGTAAGCTCGCCCTCACCACCAAACCACACCCCATCCCTACTACATCCAATGGCTGAACAACAAAGGTGGTAAGGCAAAGGTAACGAGACTTGTGCGAATTGATTTTGCCATCGGATCATACAAAGATATTGTTGAATGTGATGTTGTGCCTATGCAAGCTTGCAATATTCTCGCTAGGTAGACCATGGCAATTTGATAGAGATTCGATGCATCATGGTAGATCAAATCAATATTCGTTTCTATACCATGATCGAAAAATTGTGTTGCATCCTATGTCTCCCCGAAGCTATTATGCAATCTGATGTTACTAAGGCTGCAAAAGCAAAGAGCGAGAGTGACAAATCTGTTGTTGATGACAAAGATGAGATAAAATTGAAAGGACGTTGTATGCTTGCTACAAAATCTGATATTAATGAGTTCAATGCATCCACCTCTGTTGCTTATGCTTTGGTATGCAAGGATGCTTTGATTTCATTTGAGGATATGCAACGTTCTTTGCCCCCCGCCATTGCTAACACTTTGTAGGAGTATTCGATGTGTTCCCCATTGAGATACCAAATTAAATGCCACCAATACGAGGGATTGAGCACCAAATTGATCTTATCCCTGGAGCATCTTTGCCAAACCGTGCGCCATACAGGACCAATCCGGAAGAAACGAAGGAAATTTAGCGATAAGTGCAAGAACTACTAGACAAAGGTTATGTGCGTGAGTCTCTTAGTCCTTGTGTTGTTCCAAAGATTTTAGTGCCTAAGAAAGATGGAACATGGCGCATGTGTGTGTTGATTGTAGGGCTATTAATAATATCACCATTCGATATCGACACCCTATTCCACGATTAGATGATATGCTTGATGAATTGAGTGGTGCTGTTGTGTTTTCAAAGGTTGATTTGCGTAGTGGGTACCACCAGATTTCGTATGAAATTGGGAGATGAATGGAAAACTGCTTTCAAAACTAAGTTCGGTCTATATGAGTGGTTAGTCATGCCTTTTGGGTTAACTAATGCACCTAGTACTTTCATGAGATTAATGAACGAGGTTTTGCGTGCTTTCATTGGGAAATTTGTTGTCGCTCTACTTTGATGATATACCGATTTATAGCAAATCCATGGATGAACACCTTGATCACTTACGTGTTGTTTTCAATGCTCTACGTGATGCACGCTTGTTTGGTAACCTTGAGAAGTGCACTTTCTGCACCGATCGAGTATCGTTTCTTGGCTATGTTGTTACTCCACAGGGAATTGAGGTTGATAAAGCCAAGGTGGAAGCTATACAAGGATGGCTGTACCCACACGGTCACACAAGTGCGGAGTTTCCTAGGACTTGCTTTGGTTTCTATCGCCATTTTGTGAAGGACTTCAGCACCATTGCTTGCACCATTGAATGAGCTTACAAAGAAGGGAGTGCCCTTTTCTTGGGGCAAAGCACAAGAGCACGCCTTCCATGTGCTGAAAGATAAGTTAACACATGCACCTCTACTCCAACTCCCTGATTTTAATAAGACTTTCGAGCTTGAATGTGATGCGAGTGGAATTGGATTGGGTGGTGTTTTGTTACAAGAAGGCAAACCTGTTGCATACTTTAGTGAGAAATTGAGCGGGCCTATTTTTAATTATTCTATATATGATAAGGAATTATATGCTCTAGTGCGGACATTAGAAACATGGCAGCATTATTTGTGGCCCAAAGAATTTGTTATACATTCTGATCATGAATCTTTGAAGCATATTCGTAGTCAAGGAAAACTGAATCGTAGACATGCAAAATGGGTTGAATTTATTGAATCTTTTCCTTATGTTATCAAACACAAGAAAGGGAAGGATAATATCATTGCAGATGCATTGTCTAGGAGATATACTTTGCTGAATCAACTTGATTACAAGATCTTTGGGTTAGAAACAATTAAAGACCGATGTGCTCATGATGCTGATTTTAAAGAAGTGCTATTGCATTGTAAAGATGGGAAAACGTGGAACAAATTCATCGTCAATGATGGGTTTGTGTTTAGAGCTAACAAGCTATGCATTCCAAATAGCTCCGTTAATTTGTTGTTGCTGCAGAAGCGCGCATGGAGGTGGCTTGATGGGGCATTTTGGAGCGAAGAAGACGGAGGACATTCTTGCTGGTCATTTCTTTTGGCCAAAGATGCGACGAGACATGGAGAGATTTGTTGCTCGCTGCACAACATGTCAAAAGGCTAAGTCCCGGTTGAATCCACATGGTTTGTATATGCCTCTTCCTGTTCCTAGTGCTCCTTGGGAGGATATTTCTATGGATTTTGTGTTGGGATTGCCACGGACTAGGAAAGGGCGAGATAGTGTTTTTGTGGTTGTGGATCGATTCTCTAAAATGGCACATTTCATACCATGTCATAAAACTGATGATGCTACAAATATTGCTGATTTGTTCTTTCGAGAAGTTGTTCGCTTGCATGGTGTGCCAAATACAATTGTTTCTGATCGTGATGCTAAATTTCTTAGCCATTTTTGGAGAACTTTATGGGCCAAATTGGGGACTAAGCTTTTATTTTCCACCACTTGTCACCCCCAAACTGATGGTCAAACTGAAGTTGTGAATAGAACTTTGTCTACTATGTTAAGGACTATTTTAAAGAAGAATATTAAGATGTGGGAAGATGGTTTGCCTCATATTGAGTTTTCTTATAATCGTTCACTGCATTCTACTACGAAGATGTGTCCCTTTGAGATTGTTTATGGCTTGTTACCACGTGCTCCTATTGATTTAATGCCATTGCCAAGTTCTGAAAAGTTGAATTTTGATGCTAAGCAACGTGCTGAATTGATGCTAAAACTACATGAAACCACTAAAGAAAACATAGAGCGCATGAATGCTAAGTACAAATTTGCTGGAGATAAAGGTAGAAGGGAATTGATTCTTGAACCTGGAGATTTGGTTTGGTTGCATTTGTGAAATGATAGGTTTCCTGAATTAAGAAAATCTAAATTGATGTCTAGAGCGGATGGTCCTTTTAAAGTGATGCAACGAATAAATGAGAATGCATATAAGCTTGATCTTCCTGCAGATTTTGGGGTTAGTCCCACATTTAACATTGCAGATTTGAAGCCTTATTTGGGTGAGGAAGATGAGCTTGAGTCGAGGACGACTCAAATTCAAGAAAGGGAGGATGATGAGGACATCAACACCGATCATACATCCACGCCGTCCACGCCGACATCTGCTGGTCCTATTACTCGTGCTAGTGCTCGAAAACTTAATCATCAAGTGAGTTCCTTCTTGAGCTCTTGTCCATCCTGTTTAGATCTTGTAGACACGTGCACTCTTGTTTTGATTAGGAATCAAGGAGAAGACCGAAAGGGAAAAGGACTCGCGTAGGCTGGATTCGGACTGCAGCACACCTCCAACTTGCGACGGTCGCCACGGTTACATACGGAGTCGGATTGGGGTGATTCTGGACTTGTTGGAAAGCTAATAAAGTCTACTTTCATACGGATCTGACCTCGTACTCATACCTGCTCAGAAACGGCGTCAACAGTCCAAAAATCACCGAGAGGTCTATTCTGTCCAGGGTGCTGCGCCACCTTAAGTTAGCCCAATGGGCTTGTATCGTTTAGAGTCCAGTAGGGACGCGTCCTAGGGTTGGAGCATGACCCAAACTCTCTTGTGGTCGTCCTCCACACGTCATATACCCCTTAGCCGCCACCAGGAACACTTGGGTTTTGTTTAGATCAAGTTTAGCCTTTGCTACTTGCTTGTAGGCGTGCGTGCTGATCCAGCCGCCCGTCTCCTTGTCTTCGGAACCCCACTCATAATAAGATTCAGTTTGAGGCTTTCAATTTCATCTTGCAAATTCAGTGCTTGTTTCCTTGTTCTTGCTAGTTCTTCGATTGCTTGCAGGACGGGAGCCCTAGTGGCTAGTTGTCGCGCTCCACAAGATCGTGGTGGCCTTTGGAGGTGGTGTATCGGTTGCTAAGGCGCGGCCTTGGAAGGCTGTAGTCGGGCCGTGAACATCATCTCCATCCACCAAATCAAGTGATCTTACGTCTCTCATCGAAAGATCGACCACAAACCCTTGCGGGTTCATATCAAACTATTTTCCTGTCTTAAACAAAAAGAATGTGAGCATTTGGTTACAACCCATGCATAAATCTACATAAGTAGTGTAAAGGCGTCAATTCAGCTTAAAAGGGTGATTTTACTATTTCTTATGGATGTTTAAAGTTCGTCAAAATACCTTCATTCTTCAATGCTAAACTCTATAATTTTAACTCAGTCTCTTGATGATTAAGCATATGTCTTTTAAAAAAACTCATATATGCATGTCTATAGACTATATATTAGCATCTCCAACAATAATATGAAAGAGTTTGCATAGAAAAAATAGGGCCAACTGCTAGTAAGCACCTACCAGTTGCTATCAGTGAGCGCTAGTGATTGATCCAACCATTTAGTTTGTTCCCTGTAAGAAGTGCTTATTTTGCCATCATGTAGAGGTTCCTTGTAAAAACAGTTACAGAACAATGTATAAGATGTTAGATGTATAAGATGTATTTGTATTTTCTCTCTACTTGGAGGATCTCTTTGCTTATGTACACACATGTATACTTGCCCCTTTGGGCCTGGAATAGAATCTGGTTGGCCACTTATTCTAACATGGTATCAGAGCTAGGGTTTCGATCCTCACCTTCTCAGCAGCCGGTGATTCGGTTCCCCGTGCGGCTCACGCGGCGTGACGCCCATCTGCGCCCCTCCACAGCCCGGCTCCTCTCTACGCCCATGGGGCGCCCTTCCTCTCCTGCCCGCGGCCTCGAGCCCGCTCGTTGCGAGCCGCGCTCGCCTGCGCGTGCCCGCGGCCTCGAGCCCGCTCGCCCTCGGCTCTCCGCGTCCGCAACCTAGCTCCTCTCCGCTCGGGCGCCCTTCCTCTCCGACACGCCTGCCTCTGCCTCTACCTTACGGCTCGGCTCTGCCTCACCTCCCTCTTTTTGCGCTGTGGCCCTCTTCGGCGCGTGCGCTCTGCTTCCCTGCTTGCAAAAAAAGAAGAGAACAACAGCAGTTCCTTGCTTCTCTTATGGCGTCCCCTTGTCGCACTCGGCCTGGTGCCATTCCTGTCCCTCGGTGTCCTGTCATCTTCAATGGCACCAACTGGGGTGATTTTGTTTTTCATCCTGAAGTCCACATGGATGGGCAACTCTTGTGGGGCTATCTCACGGGGGAGCAGGTCTGTCCTCCCTATCATGTTCTTCCTATGTCACCCACCTATCCACCCAATGCTGATGATGATGCCAAGACCTCCTTACTGGATGCATTTGAGGCTCAAATGGAGAGCTGTCAGTCTGATCTTAGTGTCTATGAGACTTGGCTGCGCGAGAAGTCTGCTAAGGCCATCTTACTTGCCAGCATGGAGGTTGATCTTGCACGGTCCCTCAGAGGTCTTGCCACTTCACAACTCATGTGAGATCACCTCCGTCGCAGTTACGAGATACGTAACAAAGCGATGTACCTTGCTGTTGTTGAGGAGGCTCAGTCACTTCGTCAGCTTGATTCTACAGTTGAGGATTTTCACCGTCAGATGACAAACATCTGGCATCGTCTCGACAGTTTGGGTGCTGAGTTCTGTGGTGGTGGTACTTGTCAGTGTTGTGACCATCACCGGGACCAGAGAGACACACATCGTCTCCACGAGTTCCTCTCTCAGCTACGTCCGAAGTTCGAGACTGTTCGGACGTAACTGCTGACCCGTCATCCACGCCCATCGCTTGCAGAGGCGATGCCTGAGCTACGAGCTGAGGAGACCCGTCTTCGAGCTGGCGGTGTGAGTCGTGCTCTGCTGCAGCCCTCTGTTCTAGTGGCCACACCTCCACCGGTCTCTCCACCTCTATCCCAGTCTTCGGTGGGGGCGGGGGTACCTTCTGGTGTGCAGTGTGGCCACTGCAAGCTCTATGGCCATAAGGAGAAGGATTGTCGCAAGAAGCAGCGCAACCGGTACGGACGTCATGATAGACGCCACTCTCAGGGCTCTGGGGGTTCCTCCTCTACTTCGCAGGGCACACGCTCTGTGTCTGCAGCGGAGCAGGAGGTTCTTGCCCTGTTTCGTTGCCTCACTACTGCAGCTCAGTCCTCTGCTCATGGGACTACAACTCAGGCCTTTGCTCACGGGACCACAACTCAGGCTTCTAGCTCCACCCCTCCTCCTCCTTAAGGTATATCATCCCCTTGGTTTCTCGACTTTGGTGCCTCTTTTCATATGACACCTCATGCCACACACCTCTCCTCTCTTTCTACTTCTGATCTGCCTCTTTTTATTCGGTCCTGTTTCTGGTGACACTGCTCTACATTGTATGGGTTGTAAACTTGGAAAACAGTTGCAACTCCCCTATCCCTCTAGTGAGTCTAGCTCCGAGAGACCTTTTGATCTTGTTCACTTTGGTGTATGGGGTCCTGCACCCTTAACTTCAAAAGGAGGGCAATCATATTATGTTCTTTTCATTGATGACTATTTGAGATTCACTTGAATTTATTTGATGTCCTCTCGAGGGCAATTTCTTTCTATTTACCAGCAATTTGCTACCATGATCCGCACCCAGTATAACTCTCCCATTCGGATATTTCACGCGGATTCAGCTGGTGAGTACATCTCCATTGCTCATCGCTCCTACCTCGCTGCACAAGGTACTCTTGCCCAATTTTCCTGTCCTGGTGCTCATGCTCAGAATGGTGTTGCTGAGCGCAAGCATCGCCACATTCTTGAGAGTGCTCGTGCTCTTTTGATCCCTTCTGCACTTGCTCCTCATTTCTGGGTTGAGGCGGTTTCTACGGCTGTTTTCCTCATAAATCACCAATCCTCTACTTCCCTTAAGGGTTGCACCCCCTATGAGCGTCTTTTTGGCACCCCTCCATTCTATAGCCATCTCTGTTGTTTTAGGTGTGTCTGTTACGTTCTCGTTCCTCCTTGTGAGCGCACCAAACTCACTACCTAGTCTGTTGAGTGTGTTTTCCTTGGGTACAGTACGGAACACAAGGGCTATTGCTGATATGACCCTATTGTTAGGCGGATGAGGATTTCTCGGGATGTCACCTTTGATGAATCCCAACCTTACTATCCTCGTTCCCCTTCTGGCCATCTTAATACCGTTGAGTCCCTCTCGTTCCTCACTTTACCTGAGTGGTATCTTCCGCTGTCCTCTTCATCACCACCACCTCCTCCTCCCTCTTCGACTCCACCTCCTTCTACCTTGCCACTTCCACCACCATCTACCTCATCACCGACCTCTCCCCCGCCGGTCTCTCCTCCACCATCCTCTTTGCGTCCTTCCCGTGAGATCACTCACTACTACACTCGTCGACCATGCCCTGCACCACCCCTTGACTCCTCCCCATATGTCCTTGGACCTCTTCCTGAGTCTCCTCCTCGTTATGCTCTTTGTGACCGTAGCACCCTTCGTTCTCCCAACAGACTTGGCTTCACTGCTACTGTCTTGGCCGAGCCCACGACCTATAGGGATGCTGCTTCCCACCCGGAGTGGAAGCATGCTATGGCTGAGGAGATTGCTGCCCTTGAGCATACTAGCACCTAGGATCTCAGTCCTTTGCCACCTCATGTCACTCCTATCACTTGCAAGTGGGTCTATAAGGTCAAGACCCGCTCGGATGGCTCTCTTGAGCACTACAAGGCTCGCCTTGTGGCGCGTGCTTTTGAGCAGGAGTACGGCATTGACTACGAGGAGACCTTTGCTCCTATTGCTCATATGACCACTGTTCGGACTCTTCTCGCTGTTGCATCCATTCGTCAGTGTTCGATTTCTCAGTTGGATGTCAAGAACGCCTTCCTCAATGGTGAGCTTCGTGTCGGTGTTTGGACCAGCCGGTCCTAACTGGCAAGTAAATTTGTAGCCACGTGCTCCTATTTCGGATGGTGATGCAAGAGGAACACAAGAGGTTTATACTGATTTAGGCAAAGAATGCCCTATGTCCAGTGGGGGGAGGAGATCTTGTATTGACTTGCACCGCAGTGCTTGTAGTAGGGGTTACAAGCGGGTGAGAGAGGGAGCCTGTCCTAGGTCTCGGTGTGCTCTGATGAGTTGTGATGTGTATTGCTTGAGATGTTGATCTCTTGCAAGGTTGTGCTGTGTGTAGCGTGTGTTGTCCGATATCTTCTCCGATGCCTAGAAAGGGTCCCGGCCACTCCCTTTTATAGCCGCAAGGGGGCATAGGACACTGTACAAGTATACTACGTGGCATTTCTTGGTTGGGAAGCCCTGTAGGTATTTCCTATAGTGGCATGGTCCTGGGGATGGCCTTGGTCCTCGAAGTGCTGCAGCGACGTGCCGGTCATGCCTGACCCTGTGTACGACGTGGGAACTCATGTAGGCATTGTGCAGGGCATGGCCTGCTCTGTGGGTGACGTGCTGGTTCCTGTGCGTTGATGACGTAGAGAGCCGAGGCCGGGTCGGTGCAAAGGCTTGGTCGTCGTGGGGGCTCGGTGGGTGCTGGTTTTTGAGGCTACAGGAACCTGGAAGCGGATAGACGAGGCTCGGAGGGAGCAGTAGTCATGTGCATTGATTCCGAGGCTATAGGGACCCGAACATGACCTGCACGCTGCGCTGTCCTTAGTAATGAATGCTGGGTAGGGGTTAGGCAGCATAGTGCGGTGCTAGCCTCGGTCGTGGGCACAGTGCAAAGCACAGCAGCCAGTAACCCCCGCCCCATTCTATTATGGGCAGCATGGCAATGATATGACTCCCGTCTTGTTGGCCACATTGTTGTACCGTGCCAGTGTGCGGCTTACGTCGTAGGAGTAATTGAGCGTATTAAATGGATGTGACACCATGTTGGGTTAGGCAGGGCGGAGGTTGCGGTGTAGCTGTCTGAGCCAGCCTCGGGCGAGTCAGAGAACGGGCGCCTGTCCGAGGCTCTGTGTTATGAGGCCTCGAGCGGGTCGGAGAGTTGGTGCTCGCTTGAGGCTGGTTCCTGGGGGCCTCGGATGAACAGGAGGATCGACTGTTGGGTTGCCCCGGGCCGAGCCTACCTCAGGCGAGTCGGAGAACTAACTGTAGAAGGCTGGCTGGCCGAGCCCGCCTCGGACGAGGTGGGGGCTACCTGAGGGCAACTTGGCCTCGGCACTTTTGTTTTTAAACAAGTTTTTTGGTTCTCGCTTAGGGTACCCCTTATTATGGTACCCGACAGTAGACCCCGGGCCTCTGTAGGAGTGCGTGCACTCCTTTAGAGGTTCTGATGGTTAATTTGAGCTGGGTCGGCCACCGCCGAGGCTTCATCCTTTTTGGTTGCTGGTTCTTTCTGGAGGGTGCGCGCGAGCGCACCCAGCTGGGTGTAGCCCCCGAGGCCTTAGAGGGGTGGAGCACCCCTCCAAGGGCTTTTGAACGTCGAGCAGGTGGTTGTTTTTTCTTGTTCATCGAGCCCCAGAGCCCATCGGCCATTTAACAGGGCATGCTTGTTACGGGGGTTTAGGCGTGGGCACAAGGCGTTAGGCCTCGGCCCGGGTGCAGAGGTAGCCTCCGAGCCTCTGCTCATGGCAAGAGGGCGATCAGGGGCATCCCTATCTTTTTACACGACCCTCACGCATCCTTTTCGAAAGGAGGAGGGGTGGGATACGTCATGCTACCCTCGGTGGGCGAGCAGTGACATTCCCGGTGAGCTGTTAGCGGGTAAGTCCAAGCGGAGGCCCGTGCCCCGTTTGCTAGGGGTTGGCTGGTGGTCTAGAGACGCACTCCAAAATGCCAGAGGGTTGTCTAGCAGGTCTCAAATCCGTTTGATTGGTTCTGAGGGCTCGATGCCTCCCTTCGATGGGATCCCCTAGTGATTACCCTGCTAGTCTCGGACACAGCTTAGGACGTCCCAAGCATTGATTTGCTTGGGCCTCGGCCGCATAGGGGCTCGTCCATAGCCATCCCTGACTCTGTGTCCTGGGGCGGCTGTCGAACCCCTGGTGCATCAGCCTTTGAACCCCTGGACCGTAGCGGGCTCGGAGCCCAGTTTCCTTCTCCTAGAAGGAATCCAACAGGAATATTCCCTTTCTGTCGCTGCTGACGGGTGGGCGCGCCTTTTCAGGCGATTCCCTCGGGGAGACGGAACGGTGCCGCAGCAGCCGCTGCGGGATGTGACGCCCCGTCTGCAGGTGGGCAGTTAATGCATGCATGCGCATGGTTTACGAGGAGATAGGAGATCGATTGGGCGGATTCTGCCGGCTTCACATTAATCGTGCCAGATCTGGTGGTTTTTTCCCTCAGATTCGCCGGTTCGCCTTCTCGCCCTGCCTTATATATATATAGGGCACACCGTGCGCTCCGCCCTCCCATCCTAGCCGCCTGCATTCTTCCTCTCGTCCTTGAGCGATCGCCAAGAACAGAGAGAGCGCAGCAGAAGAAAGAGGGAAGGAAAGAGGGGGAGAGAGAGATCCATACCTCGTTGTCGTCGCAGCTCTCACACCAATCTCATGGCTGGTGCTACGGTTATCCTCTCGGCGGACCCCTGAGGCCCCTCCGATGTGGCTTCGGGGACGCTGCATGCGTTCGTTAACGAGGGCCTCCTCGGCCCTGTCACCGATCGGGACAGGCCGGAGTGGATTGCGCTGGGGGACGAGATGGAGTCGAGGACACGCGACGGCTATGTCGTGAGCTTCGTGGAGTTCCATGAGCGTGGTCTTGGGGTGCCAATGAACCACTTCATGCGGGCGCTCCCGTACTACTACGGGGTGGAGCTTCACAACTTCGCCCCCAACTCCATCGTGCAGGCGGCCATCTTTGTCGCCATTTGCGAGGGGTACTTGGGGATTGCTCCCCACTGGGAGCTGTGGCTCCACCTCTTCCTCGCGGAGATCACCACCAAGGCGGCAGGGTCAACAGGCATGCAGAAGACGCTGAGGGCCGGCGAATGTACCCTCCAGGTGCGCCAAGATAGGTCGCACCTTTACATCCTGGCCCAGCTCGTGTTGTCCAACCGCGGCTGGTACAGCAGTTGGTTCTACCTCCGCAACGACGACGGCGGGCTGCCTCCTTACACCGGGCTGGTCGTGACCTCCAAGCCGGAAAATGGCGGTACGGCGTCCCCATGCCCAATCAGCCCAAGCTGCGGCCGCTCCTCGGAGCCCTGGAGAAGCTGCGCGACTGCGGCCTTACCGCGGCCGTGGTTGTCGCGGCCTTCCATCGGCGGAGGGTGCTGCCGCTGATGGCCCGGCGGCAGCGC